CAATACATTTCGTTCCTCTTATTTAATTAAGTCTTGATAACTTTTTGATGAATTTTTCGAACACTTCAGCTGGCTTTTAAGTGTCTATAAACCCTTTTAAAATAAATAAACGTACATCAAGCTGAAGCGTTCGCATGCCAGAATGTCTGTTGATGAATAAGCTGTAAGTCTGGAGCTAACCAAGACCGAAGACCAAGTCTTTTCGCGCCTCGAGACAAAGGAACAGGTGTTTTAAAAATATTGAAGATAGGTCTACTAAAGATCATCCTTTATTGGTCTATCAAAACTTTTATTTCACGTTTTTTGCTCATGATTATTTTCTGCGTGACCCGCGATGTATACCCGCGACCCGCGCTGTTTACCTGAGACCCTCGACCCACGTCCCGCGCTGATTGGACACCCCAGTCACACTGTCACTCACACTGAAGCTGTGTACGTATTCGTTAGGAGATGTAAAAAGTAGTCTGCATACGAGCCTAGTGGCTCATTGGGCCGGAGTTTATCCCAGGTCCTGAAGCATGAAGCGACTAGGAGTATTTCCTCTCCCCTCTGGATGGGATGCTAATCCATCGCAGGGTTACCCCCAGCATAAAGGTCGCCGGTACCCATACATACACCTGGGTGGAGAGAGACTCTGTGAGAGTAAAGTGTCTTGCCCAAGAACACAACACAATGCCCCCGGCCAGGAATCCAACCCGGACCGCTCGATCCGGAGACGAGCGCACTAACCATGAGGCCACCACTAGGAGACTCTGGTGGTAAATTTGAACATAGTTAGTAGATTGAATGAGCCGGCTCATTACTTTCGCCTGGAATTCTCTACGCGTTATAGTGAACTCAAATTGACTGGTTTCAAGACCGTTTCAGCTTTATATAAGCTCAGAGGTCAAGTACCCGCCATGTTCATTGTATTGCCTTGTTTGGCATTTCTTTGTCTAACAACGGATTAACCATACTCTCACAGTACCCAGGCCCTCATTTCAGCTTGAGCTTAGCTTTGAAATTTTGATGCGAGGCAAGGAAACTGTATGTGATGTTGGCGGTTTTTAATATGAATTTGGACGCGTCAGGAGCTTAATCGGGGTTTCCCGATTAAGGCTCCTGGATGTGTGTAGTATGCTGCAGCCCACTTAGAAAAATTGATGTGCCAAAAATTTCATATTCACACAATGTAAATGTCTCTAACAACGTGAAGGTTACGGCATGCTCATTTTCAACATGAGAGGTTAAGATCGAGTACCTCCACATACGATCTCATTTTGTAACCTGGAAATAGTGACAAGTCGTGCACATGCTGAATCTGGATAAACATGCTCAAAATTGGCACTTTTAAGGGGCTTGAAACATTTTCTGACGTTTCTCGATCCCAGGAAATAAGTGATGCCTTCACTGCTCATGGCTACAAAATGCTTGTCTCATTCACATTTTTGACATTTTTTCCCTATTCCCAGTGATCAAATCCCAGTCCTAGTGACCTAAATCCCATTTTCCAGGGCAAAAGCAGGCCAATCTCAGTTCCCATTTTACCCTCTCTGTTGGATACGGTTAACAAATTTAGTTAGATATTCACATCGAAAACTCACTCGGCCGGCATTGGTCAAACTCTCGGGCTTTAATTCTCGTGGTTTTGTTTCGCGTCACGCACGATGCACAAAACGAAAGAGGACTACTTGTAGTCTTCATTAGCCTGCGGAGCAAGCGTTCCAGTWAGAAGAGCCTTCGCGCATTCTGGCCGCGCGTATAAATTAGAGCGAGAGCAAAAATTGACGAAGCAGGGGCGTGGTGCGGCGAGAGAGGGAACGCTTGCCCGCAAACTCCTCGATTTTGAAATACGCCCACTGGTTTTCACGGTTGCGTTAATTTATTGATTGACAACTTATCACCGAGGGCTAAAATTTGACAGCAAGCTTTTTTGTGAAAATCAAATAACGGATCAATTTACCGGGCGCTTTATGGTTTTCTTTTGACCGGCAAAGTTGCTTTTAAAAATCATAATAGTGCTGTCTACAAACTCTTTTGTAGGGCTATATCAAAGCCAAATGTTCGGCTTAAGACTAGTTCATTAGCTTGACAGTCACTTCATTCTCTTGCTGCTAGAAAAATATTTAACCGTTGAATTATAGAACCGACCGGAAAGCGCAGGCCTTTGTCAGTGAAAATTATCATTGCGACTAAATTCAATTCGCAGGGAAAACAACATCCAGTTGCTGGCTTCATTCGGTCTCACGTTATCTGGGCACTCAGTAAAGCTAAGTGAGGTTGCCAAATGAGACTATCAAAGATTGGTTCTCCTTCTCTGGTTCCGGTTTGATCTTCGCGCACTATCGATTATTAAACTGCAGCTGAAAGATTTAAAAACTTTCGCCGAAATCCAGCGGGTAATATAGCCACCAAGTCTTTACTCTTTAAAAAATGGTGTCTTCTGAGTAAAATCGAATACCATTCACCTCAAGTCTAATAAATATTTGCTGAGGCTAGCACGATCTCACAAACCTTCCTCCACGACATTGTGCAAGTCACACTGGAGTTATTTCTGGAATCATTCAAGCTGTTTTTAGGAGTATCCAATTAAAGCATTAAAGCGATGACCACGCCGCACCAATCAGGAACCCCGTTCGTGGGCGAACGGGTTTTTCAAAATCGAGCGTTTCCTCGCTCGCCCCACCAACCCCTGCTTCTTCGATTTTTTTGCTCTCGCTCCAATTTCCGAGCGGCCAGAATGCGGAAAGCTCTTCGTACGGGAACGCTTGCTACGAAGGCTAAGTCAATCGATTAATTAATCAATCAATCAATCAATCAATCAATCAATCAATCAATCAATCAAGCAATTAATCAATCAACCAATCTTTCGAGCAATCAATCGATCAGTTGATCGATCAATCCAACACTCGATCGATCAATCTATGAATGAATAAATCGATTAATAGACAAGTATAAGGAAAGGACTTCAATTTTAGCATTTGTAGTGTAAACGGACAGAGTTATATTAAGAAGACAAGTTGCTTTTTTTCATCTCGGGGAGCGTTTCCATCTGTTTGTGTATTAGTAGTTCTAGTTCGAACACTTGACGTGGTTTAAGCTTCCAGTGCAGTGCGACTTGGTTTTACCTTTCAGCGACAGCGGTTATCTACTACGGAAATAATCTTTTATCGATTTTACTAAGCTTCCTACCTCTACATAACGACGGAGAACTTTAATAAAACGCAATATGCCCTAGAAAGATATCATAGCAATTTTACCTCCTCAATCGTAGACCGCAAGCCAAGAAGTTAAACAGATCCTAATACGATGACGTACCTTTATTTTACCGTTGTCAAGACCCGTGTTTTGTCGCCATGCGCATTGTTTCCAATTAGCTCTCTGTCTTGGATCCATATTTGCTGCGTCTCCTTTCTCTCCCTTTGTTCCGATACCAATTTCTCCCTTGGACCCTTTTGAGCCCCTGGGGCCAATGTTCCCAGGGATACCCGTACTTCCTTTTGTTCCCATCGTACCATTTTCTCCTTTTTCTCCCATCTCCCCTTTAGATCCTTCAGCGCCTCGCAAGCCAATTTTCCCTGGGATTCCTATAGCACCTTGCAAACCCCTCTTTCCGATGCTGCCCTTCTCTCCTTTGTAGCCATCTCTGCCCGGAGCACCGGGAGTTCCTGGTATTCCTGGGACGCCATTAGTTCCGGGAATTCCCGGTATTCCTGGTATTCCAGAAGGTGGATGTGGCTAGTGAAATAAGAAAAGGAAATGTTTCATTAAGCCGTACAATTTTCGTGATCGGCTGCTTTGAGAATTAATCTCAGTTCCCCTGATGCTTTAATGATAAAGCTCTGTGCTTACTTATAAATAAGTTTTCAGTTGTTAAATTAATCGCGATCCTTTATTTTCGCCTTACTCTTCTTGTTCACCGTACGTTGTAACTAATACCTTCAAGTCGAAAATAAAGGCGATCCTTAAGAAATAGCCCCGTACCTACCTTGCATGTAGAAGTCGAAGCGTTTGACTTCAGTTCCTTGGCGTGTGTGCTTGTCGAGGACAGCAGGAAAACAGCAATAAACAACGAAGAGAAGACATCCATCGTGTCTAGTTGCTTGTGGTTGTTACGAACTAGCTTGCCTTCAAAACGTTGAGAAAATGACCTTTGGAAGAGGCTGTGGAATGTCCTTTATCGTGTTATTGCTTCCCTTTAGCTTGATTCCGCAAAACAAGGACATCATTCCAATCTGAAACGAAACGATTGGTTACCTTCCGAGCGAAAACAAGCTTGATAGATCACGTGCAGCGCGCGCTTCAGCGGTAGCATCAATTTGGCATAACAGCTTAGCTGCAATGATCACGTTTGTCTCAATTCTAATCTTCGTTTTCATTTTAAAGGTAAACCTATAACGATGAGCATCTTTGGACTAAACTTGTCCTTCTATCCGCATTTTTTCTTTGAAAATATCTAACTGAATTGTATGCTACAGAAATGTAATTACTCTAAGACTAGGCCGCATTTCTCCGCTCCCGGAAATAAAGATCTTTCGGAAAAAAGGACTCATCTCGAAGCAGCCTGTCCCTCTTTGCCCGCGGAGCCTTGGCATGCGAAAATGGTGGCTCAGGAGATACATTTTATTATTATATGGCCAGCTCCGTGAGCGGACAAGATTAATCAAATCCTGCGCTGTGGTTGGCTACCCGAGCGGGCAAGATGGAGCTATCTTGCGCGCTCGGGACTACCCGCCGTGTCCCGCAAGAAAAATTTCCGCGAAAGCCATATAATAAATCCTTTATTGACCAAGCTTGTTCGGTCAAAATTGCTTGATATTGGCCTCGTTCTTTTTTAGCGAGTTTATGGACCGAGACGGAGTCGAGGTCCATAAACACGCAAAAAAAGAACTTGGCCAATACCCAGCCATCTTGACCTCACACTTGGTCAATAACCCATACTTATTGACTAGACTCTCATTAATTGAAAGCTGATTTCCCAACCGAAAGAATTCACGGGTTGATTTCTCGCTAGCGCTGAAAGTTTTGGATACCAATATGTACTAACAAAGGGAATATTAATTTAAATCAGCACAAAGCTGCCTAGCGTAAGTGGCACATCTATATATTTTTTGTTAAGAATTGCTTCGCAGAAACTCCTCCCCATAATCATTAAATCTTTCGTTTAATTTGGCAACAATCTTGCTGAAGAAAACTTAAGATATTGTTCAACATTTTCTTAAGGTGTACAATTTTAGTTCAAAAGGATAGTAAGTTTGAAAAAGAAATATTTCTGGCAATTTTCTTTTTTTCCACTCTTTTTAGGTTCAAGTTTTAAGCAATTACTGTGAACTGAAGAAAAATTGGTTTATTCGATACGCATTACCTGCGCGAAGCAAACGTTACAAGTTTTACCGTACGCGAATTTTATTAGCGTGTCAGTTTCGCTGCCTTAATATGAAAGTGGCTCAAAGCTACTGTGGATCACCAAGAGTTTAGTGTTAATAGCGGCTATTTTCAATTTGTCATTATCTTGCCCTTGGACGAATTCCTGGCAAGAGAATTTTAAAAGCTTGAAACAGCCCGTACGAGACCCATATAAAACCTACGAGGCTCACTGGGTCAAATTTCGCTGGGATTTCTGCGGCGCCTGGTTAATTATTCCTGTGTTCCCTCTATTTTCTTCCTTAGAGCTCTCCGTAACGGGCAATCCGGGGCTCCTGGCCGTTTAGCCCGGGCATTTCCGGCACTTTAGTAGAGGAATTTGACCATTGAATTTCACTACAAGGAAACTGTTTCACAACTCAACAATAATTCTTCGTCGTTGTCATTGACAGGGTTTAATTGTGTTGCTCTCCTTTAATTTATAATACGTAAAGTTTGCCCGAGGTATTAACAAGCTCAGTTATGTTCGACGAATTTCCTTTTATTAGACAAATTACTCTTCACAACTCGTTCAATCAGTCAAGCCAACTGTCAGTTATCTCATTATTCTGTCATCGTCCCCTTCTATACTTTTTACAACAAATATCAAGCCCAGCAGCCTGGTTGCCCTTTGACTCCTTCTCCTTCGGTTATATATGCCTCAC